CCCAGCCCCACTCACCCGGCCGGCCCCGGCGGTAGGTGAGGTGCAGGCACCGCAGCCCGCAGACGATCTCCCTGTTCACCTGCGGGGACACGGCAGGGGGGACTTGGGGAGTGCCCCGTGCCACGGGGACCCCTGGCATCCACCTCTTCCACCCCTTGTCAGAATTCAGCACCATCAGAGGTGGCAGGGATCCCCCTCAGGAGGGGAAGGGATCTCTAGGAAGCCCTGGGACAGCCAGCATTGCTGGGATCTCCGGGAGAAGCGAGGATTCTGCTGTGGCAGTCACGCTGGGGACAGCAAGGACCCCCAGGGTGGCACGGGCTGGGGAACTCAGGGTGGGCAGAGACTCAGAGGGGCACAGACCCCAGGGCTAAAGGGTGGAAGCAGATATCCCAAGGCAGGGAGCCTGGGGCAGGCAGGGACACATGGGTGGCAAGAGGGACCCTGGGGGGCAGGGCCCCAGGGTAACAAGGACCCCTTGGGGTAGGGACCCCGTGGGTTGAGGGCAGCAGGGCCATGCCCAGCCGGTGGGCACAGGGCACCACACGCTCCCCTCACCTTGAAGGACACCTTCACCCTGTAGTCCACCCCTTCCTTCAGCACAAAGGCCCGGCCTCTCAGCTCCTCCAGGTCTCCTGCACAGGCAGATGGTCCATCAGCCTGGTACCCCTTCCTCCTCCTCCTCCTCATCCCTTAGGTGTCCCCAGGGCTCACCTGTCAGGTCCATGGTGATGGGCCCCGGTGCCTGCTCGCACATCAGTGTCAGTTTTGTCACCTGCACGTTGGGCACGCTGGCATCTAGGGACAAGCAGCAGGGCCCAGACCTTACCCACCATGCCCAGTCCACCATCACCTCCATCCCAGCGAGCCAAGGGGCTGCCCATGGCCCTGCAATGGCAGGAAGGGCCACAGTGCCCGTGGTGGGGGTGTTAGAGCAAGGGAGTGCCAGGCAGCCAGGCAGGGCACAGGAGAGCAGGGGCATCTCAGGTCACCCCATCACTGGCATCGGTGTCTTTTGGGGTAAGATCACATTTAAAGGACCCAGACACGGGTATTTCCCAGGGTGTGCCATTCCCTGCTCAGGAGCAGAACAAGGGGAAGCAGAGGAGGAGGATGCAGCACGGGCAGCCAAAGCATCCCTTGAGGTGGGCACTGGTCTCCTTCACGCCACCAGCCCAAGCTGCACGCCCCCAGCTTTCACCCATACCACGGTGCACCCCTCAGGCACCCCACTGCTCTGCAAACCCCTCCTCTCCCCGCCAGTGTGCACCTTCCCCGATGCATTCATGGCTGGACACTGAGGTGCTGGGCCCGTGGAGCACCCCAGGGACCCTCA